CATACAAACAGAATAAGCACATAAATCACCAAATAGACAGGACCAGATAAGAAATTCCCCATGGCATATCAGTGAAAATGCTAAAAATACAGAACAAAGACAGAATACTGAAAGCTGCATAAGATAAATAACAAGTCACATATAAAGGAAAAACCATTAGGATTACAGCTGACTTTTCAATGCAAACTATGAAATCCTGAAGAGCCTGGACCAAAGTATTGCCAGTTTTAAATGACCATAGATGCCAACCCAGATTACTACACCCAGTCAAAATGTCTATTATAGTCAAAGGGGAAAGAAAAACCTTCCATGACATAAATAGGCTGAAGGAATTCATGTCCACAAAACCAGCCCTTCAGAAAGTTCTGGAAGCAATACAAACAGCTGAAGAAAGGACTGACTATACCCAAGGGGTTGCGAAAAGAAATTCAATGAAGGTGTAACTGTGGAAAACTATAGCTATATCAAGAATGTAAAGAGAAATAAAAATGACAGGATTCAATACACATATTTCATTAATAACTTTAAATATCAACGGACTGAACTCCCCAGTCAAAAGACACAGACTAGGTGAATGGATTAAGAAACAAAACCCATCTTTTTGTTGTCTGCAAGTAACTCATCTCACTTTCAAGGACAGACACTATCTTCAGGTGAAAGGATGGAAAAAACATACCAAGCGGGTGGTACTAGGAAAAAAAGCAGGTTTAGCAATTCTAATATCTGACAAAATAGACTTAAACTAAAACTAATCAGAAGCGATAAAGAGGGCCACTTCATTCTGATCAAAGGAACAATAAACCAAGAAGATATTACAATCATGAATATATAGTCACCAAACTCTGGTGCACCCAACTTCATAAAAAAAAATACTACAGGACTTTAAGACCCAAATTAACTTAATAGTAGGCGACTTCAATACCCCACTGTCTCCATTAGATAGGTCAGCAGGGCAGAGAGTTAACAAACATCTGAATTAAACAATACCATATATCAAACAGACCTAACAGACACCTACTGAGTATTCCACCCAAGCACTGAAGGATATACCCTGTAGCCCCAGCTGTCCTGGAACTCACTATGTAGACCAGGCTGGCCTTGAACTCACAGAGATCCGCCTGCCTCTGCCTCCCAAGGGCTGGGACTATAGGCGTGTGCCACCACGCTCAGGATATACTTTCTGTTCAGCACCCCATGGAACCTTCTCCAAAATGAACGATGTACTGGGGCACAAAACAAACCTCAACAAATACAAAAAGACTGAAATAATTCCATGGATTCTATCAGACCACAATGCAATAAAGCTTACAATCAATACTGGAAGTAGCCCTAATCACCACATGAACACATGGAGATTAAACAACACACTCCTGAATGATGAATGCGTCAAAAGAGAAATTAAGAAAGAAATAAAAGTATTCCTGGAACTAAACGAAAAGGACAATACAGGGCTGGAGAGATGGCTCAGTGGTTAACAACACTGGTTGTTCACTTACCTACATACAGGAAATACATGCATACACATAAAATAAAAATAACAAATAAAGATTTTTTTTAAAAAACGGCAATACAACACAACAAAATCTCTGGGACACACTGAAAGCTGTCCTTAGAGGGAAGTTTATAGCTCTAAGTGCCTACATTAAAAAATCAGAAAGAACACAAATAAATGACTTAACATTGCAACTCAACACACCTGAAAAGCAACAACAAATGAAACCCAAACCCAGAAGACAAGAAACAACAAAAATCAGAGCAGAAATTAATGAAATAGAAACAAAGAAAACAATACAAAGAATCAACGATTCCAAGAGCTGGTTCTTTGAAAAGATAAACAAGATTGACAGACCGATAGCCCAGTTAACAGAAAGAAACAGTACCCCTAAATCAACAAAATCAGAGATGAAAGGAGAAACATCACAACAGACACCAGAAAGATACAGAACATTATAAAAGAATACTTTATAGACTTATATGCTACTAAATTTGAAAACCTAAAAGAAATGGACTGATATCTAAAGGCATGGGAACCACCAAAACTAAACCAAGAAGAGATTAACAGCTTAAACAGACCCATATCACAAAAAGAAATTGAAACAGTAATACAGAACCCCCCCAACTAAAAAAAGCACAGGACCAGATGGATTTACAGCAGAATTCTATCAGATATTTAAAGAAGATCTGCATCCAATACTACTTAATTTATTCAAAAAAATAGAAATGGAGGGAAAACTTCCAAATTCCTTCTATGAAGCCAGCATCACTCTCATACAGACACACATCAAAAAGATCATCCACCATGATCAAGTCGGCTTTATCCCAGAGGTGCAGGGATGGTTCAACATACTTAAGTCAATAAATGTCATAAATCATATAAATAGGCTCAAAGACAAGAACCACATGGTCATCTCAATAGATGCAGAGAAGGCCTTTAACAAAATTCAGCACGCATTTATGTTCAAGGTCCTAGAGGGAATTAGACTACAGGGAACATACCTCAACATAATTAAAGCCATATACAACAACCTCACAGTCAACATCATTCTAAATGGAGAAAAACTGGAAGCATTCCCATTGAAATCAAGAACCAGACAAGGCTATCCACTATCTCCACTCCTCTTCAACATAGTGCTTGAAACTCTTGCAAGGGCATAAGACAAGAGCAGGAAATTAAAGGAGCACTAATTGGAAAAGAAGAGCTCAAATTATCCTTTTGCAGATGATATGATATTATATCTAAAGGACACCAAAAATTCCACACGCAAACTCCTAGAAATTATTAACACATTCAG